CACTGTCAGATATCATTATACTTGATCCAACTATGCCACGTCACCACTGTGGCGCGACCCCCCTGTGCTGGGTTTTTTTTTAATAATCCTTTTATCTTATCATAACCATCAGGGACTGATGACTGGTAATCAAAAGTGTGTCTGAAATCATGTCAAAAAAATATCATTTAGATTTAAAATTTATATTTTAAAAATTTATATAAAACAGAATAGAATTGAAAACTGATATTTATGCATTGAATCATGACGTAAACTATACATGCTACTAATGTGTTAAAGATATTTATTTAATTAATGTTACTATTTTTTTTTAGGTTTTATAATCTGGTAGATATACATAAACGTATGTTTCCAAGTTTAGAAGTTAATCCCGAAGAAGAATTAAAAAAGTATGAATACTATGCTAATGAATTACGACCATTAGTTATAGAAACAGTCGGATATTTACATTCAGCATTAAAAGAAGGAAAGCGTATACTAGTTGAAGGTGCTAATGCTGCTATGTTAGATATTGATTTTGGTAAGATTTCATTTACTTAAATGTTTGTTAAGTTGGTGGGCTTTTTTTTAAATAACAGGACTAGAAATGAGTAACAAGACTTTTTTAAAAAGAAATCATTTTTACAATTTTTTTTTAATGCTTTTCCAGGCCCTTAAGACTCATAGTAACCATCCCAAAGGGGGGGTTGTCTTAGCCATTGATACTCCGGGATGGGTGGTTAGTCCATTGCTAGAGAGAGGGATGGCAACTCCAATTACCGATCTGATCTATTGTTTGAAAATGAAACCGCCTGTGACCATGTTTCAAATCCAAGACAGTGTGTGTTGAGCACTACCACGTTACTAACTCGGCTACACCGTCCCCCCCAATTTTTCAATAAAAATAAGTTATCATTCAACAGCATAGATAATCATTAAACACTAAAGAAAATGAAAGATATCTTAATAAAAAAGTATCATTTAATACTTAACAGATACAATTTTTTATATAAAATAATTTAAATTGGTTATTTTACTATAATTATTATTTTAATATAATTATTTTACTAATAAGTTTGTTACTATTATTAGAAAACTGCTGTTTTTAACATAAGTGTGGTTTACCCGATTTGGTGATGGTGTTGTCACACATTTAACTGTTGCTGTTAAGTCGTTGTTAACTGTAACAAATTGTTACACTTAACAACNTGTTAACTGTAACAAATTGTTACACTTAACAACAAGTGTTCCGGAAAGTCTGACACTTTTATATATATCTTAAATTAAAGTTAATGTAATTTACTTTATTATGCGAAAAAAAAATGTCGGACTTTATTTTGTCTTCACAGTGAAAATGTCTACCAAATGCTATTATTGTGTGAAAATTCTCAATTTTATTTTTTACATTTTTAACTTTATAATGTTATAACATATTGAAAAGTGTATGGATCAACATAATTTTTTTATGAGAAATAATATTTTTTAATAATCCCTTTTTCATTCGA